TCTGGGGGTGTATCTTCATTCTGCCTCCTTTCCTCCCCCGCCCCTCCCTCCGTCTGCTTTGCTCATGCGCCCTGTACCCCACGCTTGCACCCGCCATCCGCGGCTTTTCCCGGCCCCTTCTCTGTCTTCCCACCGCCCCCGGTCTTTCCAGCCCTCGGTGTCACGGTGTTGTTGGTCTTTTTCCCCGCGCCTCAGGCCTCCTCGGCGCCGATTGTCCGCGTTCCCTCCGGCCCTTTTGTGGGGACACCAAGATGATGGCTGTATTGCGGGGGTGTCACCGGAGTCGGCGACTTGAGCGTCGCAACGGTGGCCGTCGTGGGCTTCTGGTTGAAGCCCTGGCCCTGGCCCTGGCCCTGGCCATGTCAGCTTGGCACCCGGCACACACCCAATCGCCCACCGGCGGGCGTAATGGCGACAGGCCGACACAGCGGAAATGGAACCATTCACCATAGGGACAGGGCCCAAGCCGAGCGGGCCGGTCGCAAGCGATCATGGTCCCGACCGACGGGCGCCGGCATGTACAGTACAAGGTGTCATCATCCGAGGAGGATTCCTCATCATCCATGGAGGATCCCTCATCATCCATGGAGGATCCCTCATCATCCGAGGAGGATCCCTCAGCACCCGAGGAGGATTCCCCATCATCCTCGCCGCTCTCGGAGGAGGTGTCTGTGATGTTGATGCTGCTGTCGCTGCCGAAGCTGGGGCGGCGCGCGGCGGCCCGGGTCAGGCGCTGGGATTCCGGCAAAGGAGGGCTGTCGGGCGCGGCCGTCGATCGCAGGAGACGCTTGGGTCGGCCGCCTGGCGTGTCGTGCGCCGGAGCCCGCGGCGAGGATGCCGGTGGCGGGGTGAGTGACAGCCGTCTTTTCGAGGACACCGGCGATGCCGGTGATGCCGGCAGTGGTGGCGACGGCGAGACGCCCAGCAAAGGGCCGAGCCGCCGGGAGTGCCGGCGGTCAAGCGGCGCATCCGACACTCCAGGCGCCCTGGCGCCGGGCCAAAGAACACCAGTGGCCGAGCTCTCTTCGGGATCGGCACTGCTGCCGTGTGGACTGACCTCTGGCCGGTGGCGGATGCGGATGTGCAGCCCAGGCGGCAAGGGCGAGGAAGTCGGCGACCGGGTCACCTGCGTCGGACTGGCGGTCATCGCCGGCAATGAGGAGAGCCCCGCCGACACGCGCGGCGGGGCATGGGCAGGCGGCGACCGATCGGCCCAGGGTGAAAGCGAGGTAGAAAGTACGATGGGAAGAGCTGCCTGAGGAGGGAGGGCAGGGGCGGCGTCAGCCCCATTCCACATGGCCGCCGTCATGAAGGGCTCGCTGCCGGCCGGGGACGACGGCGCTGGCGACGCCGGACGCTCGAGGTCGATCTGGAGAGTCGGCAGCCAAGGGAGGCGAGAGGGTGCCGGCCGTCGGGCTGCCTGGCGGAGCTTGGCTTGAAGCTGCTCCGGCCGGCTGACGAAGGAGGCGCCCGGTGCCGGAAGGTCGTCCCACACGATGGCCGCCTTGACCAAGCCCAGCCGGGCGAGCGACTGGTCTAGGGCCTGGAGCGTTGTCTTCGGACTGGCGGGGCTGGCGACAGGGACGAGTCCAGCACTTGCAGGGAGGCTGGCCGCGGCGGCTATTTCAGCCCTCCGAGCCAAGCCCGCGACATTCTCCAGCACAGCGCACTTGGTTCGTCCCCGGGCCGCGCCATGATGATGGTGTGAATCTAAGGCAGGGGCGAGGGGAAGTACATGGATCAGACATGGGTGCGCATACACCGACGCAAAGATGGATGGGCACAAAGGCACACGGACACACGGACACACAGACACACGGACACACGGACACACAGACACACAGACACACACATGTGATGAAAGACAAAGCCAGGCCGGGTAAAATGCACACGCACGCGAGGAACGGGAGCCGGGGCCCGGGCCATGAATCGACTGCACGAAGTCCGAGTACACCCGCAACGCACGGGCCTCCGCGTGCAGGGAGCACTGAGCCGCGGTATCTAGCACCTCGATGTAGGCGTCAATCTGCCAGTGGCATGGTCAGCTTGCAGTGGTCGCGCGTCGCCCCACGCGCGCGTGGGGGAGAGCCGAGGCGGAGAAAGGCAAGGGAAAAGGCCCCGGCCAAAGGGAGCCGGGCGCCGAGCAAAGGCCCACACGATGAAGGCGCACCAGGTGCAGAAGGTCCGCCAGGCAGAGGGCCTGCTCCGAAGTGGGCGCCGGGCTGCCAGCTGGGGCGTCGGCCCAGGAGGCTGCCAGCTCCATGAGCAGATCGGCTGTCCGGTGGATCGAGTGACCGGCCTCGCCCAGCCGGCACAATACCCAGGTACGCATTTCCGGGGCCAGCATCAAGGCCAGCCGCTCAACCTGCGTGGCGATCATAAAGGGCACCTCCACAAGGGCTGGTGCACCGGCAGGAGCATCGACCCATGCGCGAGAGGAGCAAGGCATCGGTCAGGCAATTGCACGGGACAGCCCGCCAGACGGTGCTACAAAGAAGGGAAAGCACTCGAAGGAGGAGGGGGAGAGAAAACCGGACGCACTTTCCCGTAACACAGTGCCAGCCGGTGCAGCCACCAACAGTGCGGCATCTTCAGCATCCAAGGGTATCGAGGTATGTGGGGCATCGTCACCAACCTGGTCGGCCTCAGGGCTTGGCTCGGCCTTTGGAGTGGCTTCCCCTCGCCCATCAACGCGCGAGGGAACAATCCGCCGGCGATGGGTCGCCATCCTGGTGCATCCGGCCGGGCGTGGACACGCGGACAAGGGGGGAGGGGCAAGGTATGTGCACTCGTGGGGGGG